CCTCCAGAGACACATAACTAGCGGAGGGTTTTAAATCCCCTGGCGGCCTGGTGGGAAGCGGGGCCCTCTCGGGGGCACCTTTGTTTCCAGGAGAAGATCTGTGGCCAGCCCGACAGTTGGGAATTGACCCAGGAATCAAGAGATCACCGGTTCGATTCCCCGTCAGGCACAGGCCCGGGTTGGGGTACGGGCTGGATCCCCGGTGGGGGCCTGCAGGAGACAGGCGTTCAATGATTCTCATCATGGATGTTTCCCTCCCTTCCTCTCTGAAGTCAATAAAGATATATTTAAAAAAAGAAGAAAAAAAGCTCGAAGCCATCACCGGAGGCTGAATCTCGGCGTGGGGGTGTGGTGGGGACCTCCCGGGGCCTCCGGGGTAGCAGGTCCCCGCACCAGGAGGCCCCAGGGCCCCCTCCCCTGTCCCAGAGCGATGGGAGACACGGCGGGGTGCGCTCACCCCCACGGCTGCTCATTTTAATGGATTGGCCGAGTTCCTGAAAGCTTTTAAAGCCTTTACTGCCTCCGTCCGTCCGGGCAGACTGGGCTCCGCCGCCCAGCCATCCCGCCTCGGGGCGCAGCAGCCTGGGCGGAGGCTGAGAAGGTGTCCTTCCGGGGGCTCTCCTCAGCCCCCATCACCCCGAAGCGGCTCCTCCTCCCCTGCCCGGGCCCTCCTCCCTCCTCCCTCCTCCCTCCTCCCTCTTCCTCCCTCCCTCCTCCTCCTTCCTCCCTCCCTCCCTCCTCCCTCCTCCCTCCTCCCTCCTCCCTCCTCCCTCTTCCTCCCTCCCTCCTCCTCCTCCCTCCCTCCCTCCTCCCTCCTTCCTCACCCTCCCACCTTCTCTCACCACCCCACCCCCTACCCCCCCACCTTCTCTCATTCCCCCTCCTCTTCTCCTTCCCCCAGGAACCTCCCAGCGGGGCATCCTTGCGCCCGGCTGGCTGGGCAGGCTCATGCGTCCTGCGTGGGCACCCACAGGCGCCGGGGGCACCCACAGGCAGAGAACAGCAGCTGGAAATCAACCGGGGGAGGGAGCCAGGGCTGGTGACAGCAGAGGAGGCGCTGAGAGCAGGCAGCCGCTGTCCTGGAGTCTCCTGGTCCGTGGGGGCTGCCCTGCACCACACTGGCCTCCAGTCGGAGCCCCTGCCTCTCCCTCCTTCTAGAACATGCCGGGATGGCCTGCATCCCAGATCAGCGGCTTCCTGCCCAGATTCTTTCTCTCTGGACGGTCCCCGGGCCGTGGAGCCAGGCGGGGAGAAGCCAGGGCCCGGGGGCAGAGCACAATACTCACGGTGATTGTTTGGCTCGGCGTCTGGGCAGAGGCTGGCAGTGGGTTTGCGTAAGGCACTGCGGCTGCTGGGTTTAATCTAAACTTTATTCTGACTTCGGCACGTGTGCCCAGAGGCTGCGGAGGGAGGCGGGCACGGGAGGGAGCGGAGACCTGACCTGGCAGATCCCCGGGGACTGGAGCTGCTGAGGCAGGAGGAGGAGTCCTGGGCCCCGGCTTAGCGAGCCCTGACCTGGGGTGTGTGTGTGAGTGTGTGTGTGTGTGTGTGAGTGTGTGTGTGTGAGTGTGTGAGTATGTGTGTGTGTGAGTGTGTGTGTGTGAGTGTGTGTGTGTGTGTGTGCATTTGTGTGAGTGTGTATGTGAGTGTGAGTGTGAGTGTGTGAGTGTGTGTGTGTATGTGAGTGTGTGTGTGAGTGTGTGTGTGTGAGTGTGTGAGTGTGTGAGTGAGTGTGTATGTGTGTGAGTGTGTGTATGTGTATGTGTGTGTGAGTGTGTGTGAGTGTGTGTGTGTGAGTGTGTGTGTATGTATGTGTGTGTGAGTGTGTGTGAGTGTGTGTGTGTGAGTGTGTGTGTATGTGTATGTGTGTGTGAGTGTGTGTGAGTGTGTGAGAGTGTGAGTGAGTGAGTGTATGTGTGTGTATGTGTGAGTGAGTGTGTGTATGTGTGTGAGTTTGTATGTGTGTGTGTGTATGTGTATGTGTGTGTGAGGGTGTGTGAGTGTGAGTGAGTGTGTGTGTATGTGTATGTGTGAGTGTGTGTGTGTATGTGAGTGTGTGAGTGTGTGTGTGAGTGTGTGTATGTGTGTGTGCATTTGTGTGAGTGTGTATGTGAGTGTGTGTGTGTGTGTATGTGTGTGTGAGTGTGTGAGTGAGTGTGAGTGTGTGTGAGTGTGTGTGTGTATGTGTATGTGTGTGTGAGGGTGTGTGTCCAGGTGTGAACCATCTCTCCCATCCCTCTCCTGAGCTGGGGAGGCATTACTGTCCCATTTTGCAGATAAGAAAACTGAGGCTCACCAGGGTGCAATGACGAGGTTAACACACGTTCTGCCCACGAGCCCCTTTCTCCCATGTTCCCGGCATGCAGCATGGAGACGGCATTGGGTTGGAGCAGACGGAGGTAACCAGCAGGGGTGCTCCCTGGGGTGGGTGAGAGTGCGCCTGTCAGTGGGAGGAGGGTGAGTGGAGCAGGGCCACGTGCCAGGAGACTTTATTTCCATACCGGACGCCCAGGGAGTGGAGAGGGGAGCGGGGAGACCTGAGGCTGGCTGTGGCCTCGGGGGTGACCGGGCACAGGAGCCGGTTTCGGGCAGGTGGGCGGAGGGAGGCGCTGGCAGGAGGGCTGGGGCTGTGCCATCGGCTGTTCAGACATGGGAGGGCCCCGGAGGCGGAGACGACGAGCCGCTCTGTCCCGTCGGCAGTGTCGTTCCCTGGCTGGAGGACGCGTTCCCTCTTCCCCAGGTCCCGGCAGGAAGCCGTGTCAGATGGGCCTTGTGCTGTTTTGTCAGTTTGGTGAGTTTCCTGGTGAACCATCCAGAGCGTCTCCTGCTGCCCAACTGCCACTCCAGGCTGTGGCTGCTCTGGCCGTGGCTGCTCGGGCCGTGGCTGCTCCAACCGTGGCTGCTCCGTGCTGTGGCTGCTCTGTGCTGTGGCTGCTTCTTGCGGTGGCTGCTCTGTGCCGTGGCTGCTCGGGCCGTGGTTGCTCCAGCCGTGGCTGCTCTGTGCTGTGGCCGCTACGTGCTGTGGCTGCTCCATGCTGTGGCTACTCCGTGCTGTGGCTGCTCAGGCCATGGCTGCTCTGTGCCGTGGCTGCTCGGGCCGTGGTTGCTCCGTGCTGTGGCCACTCCGTGCTGTGGCTGCTCCGGCCGCTGGTCCGCTGGGCCCCGGCGGGATGAGGTCCCTCCTGGGCCTGTCCTGCGCTGGGGTGGGGGGGGGGAGGGGCGGCCCCCGGGGATGCTGAGGTCGGCTCCCCACGGTCCCGAGGGTCTGATTTCTCAGCCGTGTTCACGCTGCATCTTCTTGCTTACACATGGGACAGCCGGAGCCCGAGCCTCTCGCAGGTCCACCCGAGGCACAGCACAGCCGGGTGGAGGTATCAGCATCCTGTGAGGAGGGAGCCGAGCGCTCGGGGCGGGCCCAGGGCCTGGGACCCAGGCTTATCTGCGAGCGCGGGTCCGAGCACCTGCTGAAGCCACACCGTGAGGGCGGTGCCAGCCGGGGCGGAGGGCCTCCCCGCACTCACACCCCCGCCTTGCCCGGTGACTCGGAAAACCCGCCAGCTTCGCGGTTATGATCACAGTTGCCATAACAACTTCGTACCTCTCTCCACGAGCATGCGTCCCCAGGCTGTATTTTTAGCAGCGACTGTCAGAGCGTGTATTTTCTAAAACATAGCAGCTAGTTTTTCAAGCGGCCAATCTTAAAAAATAAAGCAATCCCACCTTCGTTGGTGTCTCGGGGACACTGCGGGGAAGAGCAGGTGGGGCGCTCGCCGTGAGACACGCGATGACAGGGATGGTCTGAACATCTGTTTCCACGGAATGTTCTTTGGATCCGTGTCAGAGGGCATCCCGGGACTCTGCCCTGGGGGCTGTGACGGTGGGAAGTGATCGGGGGGAGGTGTGCGGGTCTGACACGCACAGGTGTGGGCTGTGAACAGGAATTAGCTGCACCGAGTGTCCGGGAGGCGGCAGGGAGGCCCAGACTCACCGCGCCCACGGCCATGCCGCCAGGGGAGCAGGCCCAGAGTGACGCCCAGGAGCCGCCTCCATTTCCAAATTGGGCTCCGCGGCTACACCCAGCGGGCTGTTTACTTAGTTGATTGATTTTTAAAAATATTTCTTTAATTGATTTTTCTGGGAGAGGATGAGAGAGGGAGAAACACCCACATGGATTGGCTGCCTCCTGCGCACCCCACATTGGGGATGGAGCCCTCAACCCGAGCGGGAAATGAAGGTTTAATGCCCAACTTCCCAACCGAAGGGCACACACAAAGGTGTGGGGGCAGAGGCGCCTTCTCCAAGGTGGCGGCACCCCCCCTGCCTGGCACGGGGGGAGGGAGTGGGGGTAGGGGGGTGGGGGGGAGGGGGGATGCGGGGCCTGTGGGCACCTGGCGGCCGGACCTTCCCCATGCTCACCCTCCGTCCCTCAGAGGCACCCTGGGGGGAGAGGGATCCTCCAGGGTCGCTGTGCTCCTGACCCCTGGTGACCTGGGGCCTCAGGAATTCCGTTACAGCTCCGGACCGGGATCAGGGCCAGGGGCGGGGGGGGGGGGGGGGGGGGGTCTGGCTGCCAGCAGGCCGCCCAGCTCCAATGTGCTTTCCGGTGAGGGCGGGTCCCCAACCTGTAACTCGAACCCTCCAGCCCCTTCCTGGCGCAGCAGGGCAGGCAGCTCCCCGGCCGCCGCTGGTGCCTGGGGCGGGGGTGGGGGGGGAGACAGTTGCAGGGATGGGGACACTCCCTTACCTGCCTCCCAGGGCCAGCCCAGCGGCTGGAGGGCGAAGGGAGGGAAGGGCGGGGCCGGACCCCCGGGCGTGCCCGCCCCGCGCCTGGCGGGTCCCTGCCCGCCCCTTGCCCGGCCCAGCCCAGCCCAGCCCAGCGGGCCGGCATCTTCCCAGCCCGAGCGCTGCAGAGCCGGGCGCCCCTGCCCCGCGCCGCCCCACGCACGCCCTCGCTCCCAGCCACCCAGACCTGCCCTCCCGGCCCGGGCCGGGGCATGGGCATGGCCGGCGGGGGGCCCGCCACGCTGGCGCTGGCCCTGGCGCTCCTGGAGGTGGCCCTGCCGGGGGCTGGGGCCCAGGGCGCGGCCCTGGAGGACCCCGGCGGCCACTCGGTGCAGGAGCCCTGGAGCCAGGAGCCCTACTATGTGCACGGGGAGCCCGAGGCCCAGCCCCAGCCCCTCTCCCCGCGGCCGCCCGCGGGCACCCAGGAGGAGGCGCGGGAGCTGCACCCACCCGCACCCAGGCCCCCCAAGAGGGCGCCCAAGGCCAGGAAGACGCCCCTGAGGGAGAAGCCGGCTCCGGAGACAGAGCCCCCGGCTCCGGGTGAGGAGCGTGCAGCTCGGGGGGGGGGGGGGGGGGAGCGGGGGGGGGGGAACCATGGCCCTGTGTCTCCCGGGGGAGGGGTGAGAGGAGGGGGCGCCCAGTCTGCGGGGACAGGACGGCTGGCTCCCTGGCCCCTGCGCCCCTGCGTCTGGGATGGAGGGCCCGGAGTCGCCTGCCTGCCGCCCCCAGCCTCTGTAGAGCCTGCACCACGCACCCCACGGCCCTGCAGCCCCGGCCCCCCACCGGGGAGGCAGACAGCTGGGCAGCTGCCGGGGAGTGGGGGGTCCTGCTGACCACCCTCCTCTCCGCCCTCTCAGCCCCCCCCCCCCCCCCCCCCCCGCCACGGGCGCTCGCTGAGGGTGTTTCTGATTTGGGGTGGGAGCGGCTGGTGGGTCTGGGCACTGTGGCCTCCGGGGAAGCCCATGTCCCCTCTCAGCTGCCCCACCTCCTGCTCTGGGGCCCAACCCTCAGAGCAGCTGAAGGTGGCAGAGGCCCTGCTGGGAGCCGGGGCAGCAGGGTCCTGGTGCCCCGGGGAGAGGGCAGCCCCGCGGGTGCCCCCGCTCTCCAGGCCCGCCTCGGGGACTGACTTCCATCCCGCGTCGCACGCTCCCTGGAGAGGCCCTCTCCGTGGTGCCCGGGTTTGGGGCCAAGGGCACAGGCTCTGTCCTCAGGGTCTAAGGTGGGGGAGTCAGCGCCCCAGGCATGTCCTTGGCGATTGGCAGGGGCCCTCACTGCCCCGCAGGGAGGGGGGAATCTTGGATTTGGTTAGACTGTTCCGGAAGGTCTGGTGAGGCCGGGAGGGGAGATGGAGACTCAGCTCCTGCCCCTGGACCCGTGTCTGCAGCCCCAGTGCACGTGCTGGGACAGGGCAGCCCCTGGCCTCCAGTTCCGGGCCCTTCCGGGCACCAGCGGGCCGGGCAGGGGGTGGGTCGCCCTGGCCAGAGCCGTCGGAATTCCCAGTGTTTTCTGCCGGACGAGCCTGGGCTGTGGGGAGGGAGGGAGGAGCGGGAGTGGGAGACACTCATACCTCAGGACACCACCGGGCCCGGAGTGGGTGGTGGCGGTGGTGGTGAGTGTCTCGGTGAGCCCTCCCGTGGCCGCCAGTGGGTGTCCTGTGACTGAGGACGGGAGGTGGGCCCTGCTGGCCGGCTCGGAGCAGGCGCTTGGAGATCTGTGTCCCAGCACAAGGCCTCTTTGTGTCCTGGCATCTGCATCCCATCTGCGTGTGTTTATGTTGCTTCAGGGAAGACACGCATGTAGTCTGGTGTTTACTGGGGAGGGGCCGGAGTCTGAGGACAGCATGGAGCACCAGGTCTGGGCCTCAGCTTCCCGTCCTCCCAGCCTCCTCATCTGCACGTAGGAAGATGGCTGCCACCTCACCTCACTCTGCTGATGGTTCTAGAAGCTTCTCCACAAACCTCCCAGCGTGTGCTGTCCTTCATTTGCTCTGCAGGTCTGTCCCGGGACCCCACTCAGCTCGGGGTGCAGACGTGCTGAGGGACGGATCCCCAAACTGGAAACCTCAGGCTCGGCTCAGACCCTCAGCTCGGGGCCTCCCGGGGGCTGCCCCCGGCTGCCGTGTCTGTAATGGGCTGTGAGGGGCTCTGTGGGGCACCCCAACTATGACAAGCAGTGGGTGACATACACCACAGACTTCCGGCTCCTGTCCTCTGGGGTGCCTTTGCCAGGACAGTCCTTCACCTGGACCCCAAGTGGGGAGACTGGGTTAAGAATGGCCTCATGCCCTCCTGGCATGGCTCAGGGGTGAGCATTGACCAAGAGGTCAGGGTTCGATTCCTGGTCAGGGCACAGGCCCGGGTGGTAGGCACATCCCCAGTAGGGGGCGTGCAGGAGGCGGCCCATCCATGGTTCTCTGTCATCACGAATGCTTCTGTCTCTCTCCTTCTCCCTTCCTCTCCGTGAAATCAGGAGAAGCACGTTAGAAAGAGTGACCTGACCGTGGTTCGGGAGCCCTGACCGCTTTGTGCAGCCGGGGTGCTCATGGAGTCCTGTTCCCCCCGGAGTGGCCGTGGAGGTCAGCGCTGCTCCTGATGCAGGAGGAGCCCGTGTCCGCACACACCGTGCCACAGCCCGTGTCACCGCACCTTACCGGGCGCCGGCTTAGGAGGGACAGAAACCCGGCTGGGCACTGGCTTAGGAGGGACAGGAACACGGCCGGGCGCCGGCTTAGGAGGGACAGGAACACGGCCGGGCGCCGGCTTAGGAGGGACAGGAACCCGGCTGGGCACTGGCTTAGGAGGGACAGGAACACGGCCGGGCGCCGGCTTAGGAGGGACAGGAACCCGGCCGGGCACTGGCTTAGGGGGGACAGGAACCCGGCCGGGCGCTGGCTTAGGAGGGACAGGAACCCGGCCGGTCGCTGGCTTAGGAGGGACAGGAACCCGGCCGGTCGCTGGCTTAGGAGGGACAGGAACCTGGCCGGTGTGTGAGGGGAACCTCCGGCCGGCTTTGCTGGCGGGAGGCGCCGGCCCCTTGCTGCTCTCTGGCTCTGAGGCGGGGAGGCCAGGTCCCGCTGAGCGGGGGGCGAGGCCTCTGGAACTGACGGACGCCGGCCCCGCGCCTTGTCTTTGCCGATGATGGTGTCTTCCCGAGGCCTGTCTTGCTCGGGGGAGGAGGCAGGCCGCTGTCTGAGCGGCAGGGAGTTGGGTCTCACGTCACAGAAAGGCCGGCTCAGCAGCCGGGCCGGGTGGCCGTGGCCGGCTCAGCCGGCAGCCAAGTGCCGTGGGCCGTGGGCCGGGCCCTCAGTGCGGGAGCACTGCCGCCCCGCAGGTGGCCGGTCCCAGAGAGGCAGCGCTGAACCTTTAAAAGCTTCGTTTTTATCTGGGAGATAAAAGTGTAACATGCTGATTAGACGGTGTCCTTCCGGACATCCTTGCGGACGGAGCGGGCGGGCGGGAGGCCCGGATTGGCTGCCAGAGGGAAGCCGTGCCGCAGCCGGGCGGGGAGGCCGCTCGGGCACCGATTTCGAGCGTCGGGCCTCTCGTTCTGAAGTAACTGCAGACCCAGGGAAACCGCAAAAGCCAGCGCCGGGAGGTGCTGTGTCCTGCCGCCCAGCCTCCCGGTGACAGGCCTTTGAGGACCACACTGGGTTCCTCACCTTGGCAGGACGGCATTGTGGGCTACGTGTGCGAGTGTGAGTGTGTGTGTGAGTGTGTGTGTGTGTGTGTGTGTGAGTGTGAGTGTGTATGAATGTGTGTGTGTGTGTGTGTGAGTGTGAGTGTGTATGAGTGTGTGTGTGTGTGTGTGAGTGTGCGAGTGTGTGTGTGTGTGTGTGCGCGCGCGTGAGTGTGTGTGTGAGTGTGAGTGTGTATGAGTGTGTGAGTGTGTGAGTGTGTGTGTGTGTGTATGAGTGTATATAAGTGAGTGTGTGAATGTATGTGTGAGTGTGTGTATGTGTGAGTGTGTGTGTGAATGTGTGTGTATGTGTGAGTGTGTGTATGAATGTGTATGTGTGAGTGTGTGTGATTGTGTGTGTGAGTATGTGTGTTTGCAGTGAGGGCAAGAGTTAGGAGGACGCTTGTAATGATTTCTGTGTCTCTTAGCAGCAATCACAGTGCTTTCAGTACACGTAAGTGAGGACAAGGGATCTTTTAAAAAATACGTGTTTTTATTGATGTCAGAGAGGAAGGGAGAGGGAGAGATAGAAATACCAATGATGAGAGAGAATCATTGGTTGGCTGCCTCCTGTACGCCCCCAACTGGGGATCGAGTCTGCAACCCAGGCACGTGCCCTTGACCAAAATCGAACCTGGGACCCTTTGGTCCGAAGGCTGACACTCTATCCATGGAGCCAAACCAGCCAGGGCAAGAGATCTTATATCATGATATTACGTGCTCACTTGAAGAGTTAAACCCAGAGTGGTTTGACCTGATAAACTCCCTACGAAATTCCAGGGAAAGGATATTTTACAGAAAAAAGAAGAAGTTGGTTCTCACACATCAGCAAATAGCTTTCAGGGCAGCACCTCTTTCCACAGCATTCTCCAAAGTCAACGAGTCCTGCTGGCGGCCCACGCTGGCCGCGGCTGGAGGCCAGGCTGGTGCCGGGAAGGAGGGAGCCGGCCTGGAGGCGGTGCTGCCATGTGCCGGAGCCTGCCCGCTGCCAGGCCTCACGGCGGGCGATACCCTCGGTGCCGGCGGTGGCAGCCCGGCTGGAGCCTGCATTTTGAGGTTCTCGCTCTCAGGCTGGGAGTTCCCACAATGGCTCTGCCCTCCAAGGCCTCTCAGACCCCCTGAGGTCCTGAAACCCAGGAGCCGGGGGTGTCTGTGAATGGCCACCCCAAGGGCTGATGGCCCCGCTGGCTGGCATCCAGCCCACTGCTCACGTGGGCACAGGGCATGGTGGGAGTGCTACATTACCCGCAAGGTTCATTTCAGAAGCTCCTGTCACAGATTTTTTATGGAACAGCCCATCCTTGTGGGCCACGAGTGGGTATTTGGCATAAATGTTCAGGATCCAGAGAGCTGGGATCTAACTGTTGCTCCATCTCCTCGGGCACGTGTGGCTTCTCCCTGCCTGGGGCTGCTCCCTGTGACATGGGATGATGAGCAGCACGCTGCCCGGGGGGCGGGAGGTCGGGCGGGTCGCCAGCAGCCTCCCCAGCTCTGGGGGGCCGTTCGGAGGCGCGTCAGACCCCAGGGTCCCAGCCAGCCGAGTCCCAGGGGGCCGTGCTCTGCGCAGCCTGCATCACAGGTGTTTCCTCCTCCACGTCTCTGTTCCTTCACTGCGTGGACTCCCCTCCCAGAACTCCAGCTCTGAGGCCTGGTCTCAGGCTGTTCCCGGCCGAACCCAAACGGAGACAGGCAAATGCCAGCGGTGCCCGCACAGGCCTGGGCACATCCCCGCCTGCTGCGAGGGGGACGGTCTTTCTTTTTAATATATTTTATTGATTTTTATAGAGAGGAAGGGAGAGAGCTAGAGAGCTAGAAACGTCGATGAGAGAGACACATCAACCAGCTGCCTCCTGCACACCCCCTACTGGGGATGTGCCCGCAACCCAGGTACATGCCCTTGACCGGAATTGAACCTGGGACCTTCCAGTCCGCAGGTCGATGCTCCAGCACTGAGCCACACCGGCTTCGGTGAGGGAGGGTCTTTCTCTACCGGGCTCCTCAGTTGCCAGTTAGAAAGGTGGCTGCGGCTGCACGGAGGCCGGTACCCTGGGCCCTGATGGAGACCACGCCTTCCTCACAGACGCTCGCCCCGAGGAGGCAGAGGCTGATGGGAGGACAGAGGAGGAGGGTTGTGAGGGCTTTTGGGTGGTTGGTTGGTTGGTTGGTTGGTTGATTAGCTGATTAGTTGTTTGATTGTTTGGTTGATTGTTTGGTTGGTTGTTTGGCTGATTGGTTGATTGGTGGTTTGGTTGATTGGCTGATTGGCTGATTGGTTAATTAATTGGTTGGTTGATTGGCTGATTGGATGGTTTGTTGGTTGATTAGCTATTTAATTGGTTGATTAGTTGGTTGGTTAGTTGATTAGTTGGTTGATTAATTGGTTAGTTAGTTGGTTGGTTGGTTGGTTAATTGATTGGTTGGTTGATTGGTTAATTGCTGGTTGGTTGATTGTTTGATTAGTTGGTTGATTGGTTGATTGGCTGGTTGATTGGTTAATTGATTGGTTGTTTGGTTAATTGGCTGGTTGATTGGTTGATTGGTTGATTGGCTGGTTGATTTTGGTATAGCCCTCGTGAAAGGCTTAGAAAATTGCAGTGGAATCTCCATCTCCACTCCAGACCATGCAGGTAACTGAGTAACAGCAGCAAGTACCTCATTCAACCACTCAGCTCCTCTCAGGACTCACCAGATCCCCAGGGCGACCTGTTTCCAAGGGAGCTTAGTCTCAGGACTGGATAAGGACACAGGCTGCTCCCTCCCCATTGGGGCCCTTTTGCTAACACCCCCTGGAGCTCGGGTTTGCAGCCACCATTGCTTAGGATTTTCATGGTCCCCCTCCTGGCTCTCACGGGTGAGGTTCTCTGCAGACGTGCATGGTGGCAGGACCCCAGGAAGCTATCGGCGGCGTCTGTCTGGATATCCTGCATCTCTGGACGCCCCTGAGAACCCCCTTGCCTGTGTGGTTCCAGGAGCTGTGGGCTGGGGCTGAGCCCTTCGCCAGTGGGAGAGCAGATGCCGTGGGGCTGGAATTTCCTGGGGAAATGCAAAGAGGCAGCGAGGAATTTGTCAGTTTCTGGGGTTTGCTACTGGAAGCTCCTTGTATAGAGAGAAAAGCTTTCTCATAAACCCAGAATAGGCACGGCCGGGCTGGCAGCGCCATTCTGCTACTTTTAAGGAATTCGGCTCTGTCACGCAGCCCAGATGGAGATGTTGATTTAATCCGGCTCCGTCCCCCCCTCTTCTCTCTCTTCTCTCCTCCGGAGGGATGTGCTGCCTTCCCTGCTGGGCAGGACCTCACGGGGAGGCAGCCTCCAGCTCCGCCCGGCTCTGGGGGTGCCCCGGAGCGGGTCACCTGCCAGAGCCTCAGTGGCCCCACCTGTGACTTTGTGTTCAGGGTCAGCCCCCGCCCTCAGTGGGCACTTGCCCAGATGGGATGCTAATGTCTCTGTGAAAGTGCCTCATGAGTGTGAGTCACTCGCCACATGCTGTCTGCTGGCTTTTCAGCAGCTGGAATGGCGCTCTGTGGCGGGAGGGGCTCCATCATCATATTCATGATGACCAGACGGAAGCTGCCTTTTAAAATATATTCTTATTGATTTCAGAGAGGAAGGGAGAGGAAGAGGGAGAGAGAAACATCAATGATGAGAGAGAATCCTTGATCGGCTGCCTCCTGCCCCACATTGGGGATGGAGCCCATAACCCAGGCCTGTGTCCTGACCAGGACCCCAACCGTGACCTCCTAGTTCATGAGTCGAGGCTCCGCCTGAGCGCCCAGAAGCTGTGTTACTCGGTGGTGGCGAGGCAGGCTCTGCCCGGAGCCCTGGCTGTGGGGTATGTGACTGCCATCCGGTTACAGGCGGGTCCTGTGTGCCCTGCTCACTGAGGAGGGGCGGGCCATGGAGAGGTGGAGGGGTCACTGAGGATTCAATTGCTCAGGGGGCGGGGCACTGGAGCTCTGAGAGAGCGGCTGGGCCCTGCCTGCTGTCTCCGCCCTTGGAACACACGTGTTGGGCCCGGGGAGGCAGGCTCTCAGAGGTGGCAGCACACTGCCCACATCGAGACCTTCCTTCAGTCCCTGGAGCCAGGCAGGTGGGTTTGGGTCCTGGATTCGGACCGGGCGTGTGAGAGGCGAGGCTGAGGGTGAGGCAGGGCTGAGCTCGGGACTCCCCCTCCCACATCCCCGGGAGGCCCCCGCAGAGAGGAGGAGGCAGGGAACACCCACCTTCTCCCCAGAACCCCGCAGGCCCTCAGAGTTTGTGAGCCTGCCCTGCCCTGCCTTAGCTCTCCGCCCAATCAGGCTCCACGTTCGCAGGAGTCATGGCTCCAGTTTTGCCCAACCATCGAGGTCCCACGGCCCCTCAGCCGGGCTCTTCGGAAGAGGCCGCCTCTGGAGGCCACTGACCCTGACATTTCTACCCACAGACCTGGCCCCAAGGGCAGGGCCGGACACATCCAGGGCGGCAGCCTCTCTCCACCTCTCAGGCGCTCGGATGGACTCCCTCCGCCGAGGGGGCACTCATGTGGCGCCTCTTCAGTTCTCGGAAAGATGGGAGACATCCCCGCGGCATCCCCCGAGAAGGGGGCGGAGAGGGTGGCCCTCAGCTGGGCCCAGTGAGGGTCTGTGTTCTCGCAAAGCACGTTTTCCCCTTTGGTGACAGAGGAGCCGTCGGAAATGATTTCATTAATTGGCATGGCCCGCTGGCCGCTCTGGGCGTCTCAGTTTGCCGCAGGAAGTCCCCACGGGGTCTCTCTCCGCAGAGCTGCCCTCCTCTCGTGTTTGTCTGTTTGATCACCCATGACTCATTCGTTCATTCATTCATTCCCTCATCACAGCCAATTATCCACCAGATTCTGGAGACAGCACGAGCAAAACCAGACCCACGAACAGACCAGCCGTGGTCACACATGTGTGGTGACGCTACCCAGCACAGGGTGCAGCGCTGTGGGGGTTGCTTGCCAGGGTTCCTGTCCCAGCATTAAAAGGTGCAGCAATCTGGGGAAAGGCTGTGTGATTAACTCAGAGTCCAGAGAGGAAAGATAGTTTTGAAAGGCATTGGGGGGTCAGAGGAGCTTCAGCTAAAGGAGCTAAAGTTCTGAGTTCTTAGTTCTCGGCTCAGGTCCCTTGCTTTTCATTAACACAATTTGTCCTAAGGCAAGGTGGAAATAACACACTTCAAAGGGTAGGGTTTCGTACAGATTGGGGAATAGCCCACAGCTGCTCAGGTGTTTGGCCCACAGGAGGCGATACCATGTGGAGTGAGATGCCCTGAGCTGTCTGGCAGCAAACTATCATCCTATTCAGGTTTGGGGGAAGTGCCTTCCAGCGGTTCCCACAGGTGAATGCATATGTGACTCAGCCCTTGTGGAGCCCCCAAGTTCCATCAACCTTTCGATAAAACCCTTGTAATTATGACGTGCTGGAGCTGGCCTCCGGCACTGCTGCCCCCTGTGGCCCTCGTCCGCAGGTGCACGTGTCCCTGGCTGCTGGGGTCCCAGGGAGATGGCTCACGGCTGCTCCTTCCTGGAGTGTCGCCCTCGAGGGTCCAGCCTCCCTTCCCAGTGGGTTGGTCTGTGGCCAGAGGCCGCCAGCAGGAGAGCAGCTCCTGGTCTCCAGAGCCGGAGGGGACCGAGGAGCCCGAGAGGAGCTGACGGCCGAGGGGGCTCCTCCTGCCCACCGCCGTCTGGTCCAGCCGGGCCTTGGAGGGCGAGGGAGGAAGTGGCCTGTGTGTGGGGTGAGGGGGTAGGGAGGTGGGGGTGGGAAATGCCAGCTCTGGGCCCAGAAGGCCCCATTCCAGCTCCGTTCGGTCAGAGGGTCGCGGTGTCAGCCTGTGGGTCCGGAGGCCCGAGGTGCAGGCTTGGACAGAGTGGCTGCGTGTGCTGTGGGTTAGCGGCTTACCTCCTGGTCCACCCCACGGGGAGCACCTCAGTGTCCTGGGCATCGCTGGGTTCCGGGTGGGGCAGAGGTGAGGATGGGGAGGAGACTGAGGTGGGAGTAGGGAGAGGGCAGAGTGGGGAGGGGGAGGGGATAGAGGTGGGGATGGAGAGGGGACAGAGGTGGGGATGGGGAGGATGGGGAGGGGGCAGAGGTGGGGATGGGGAGGATGGGGAGGGGGCAGAAGTGGGGATGGGGAGGGGGCAGAGGTGGGAGTGGGGAGAGGGGATAGAGGTGGGGAGGGGAGAGAGGTAGGGATGGGGAGGGTGAGGATGGAGAGGGGACAGAGGTGGGAGTGGGGAGAGGGGATAGAGGTGGGGAGGGGAGAGAGGTGAAGATGGGGAGGGGGCAGAGGTGGGGATGGGGAGGGGGCAGAGGTGGGAGTGGGGAGAGGGGATAGAGGTGGGGAGGGGAGAGAGGTGAGGATGGGGAGGGGGCAGAGGTGGGGATGGGGAGGGGGCAGAGGTGGGAGTGGGGAGAGGGGATAGAGGTGGGGAGGGGAGAGAGGTGAGGATGGAGAGGGGAGAGAGGTGGGGAGGGGAGAGAGGTGAGGATGGAGAGGGGAGAGAGGTGGGGACCGCTGCTCGGCAAAAGAGGAGCCCTCGCCCCTGGGACGACCCTCACACGTGGAGGCAGACGTTTCTCTCTCTTTTCAGGTAAAAATAGCAACAGAAGAGGCGCGAGAACCAAGAGCTTGGAGAAGGCTGCCAGCGACGAGCACAGCCCCCCCAGGGCCCCGGGGGAGGCCGGGGCAGGTAAGCGAGGACGGGGAGGCCCCCCCTCCCCCCCGAGCCTGGCACCGCCTCCGCCCCGCGGCCCGCAGGCTCCCTGAGGCCCTGTGTGGGGCTGCCTCTTCCCAAGCCCCCCGGGGGGGGGAGGGCCTTCCAGCCTCATTCTCCCCCGGGGCACAGGGCTCCAGGGTCCCCCACCCCAGCTCCTGAGTCCCTGCCGGCCCCGCCCGCCTCCCCAGCACCACACCGGCCTTTCGATTCACGTGGGGCCTGCAGACACCCCGCTCCCAGGAAGCTGCCCCCCTCGTCCATCCAAGGGAACCCCGGGGAGCCTGGGGAAGGGAAGGACGCTGAGTCGGGGCTGCTGGCTTTTGGGGCTCCCACTGAGGTGCTGGGAGCAGGTCCCCGGCCTCCAGGCGGAAGCATCCCCGCAGGTTCCAGGAGGGGCCCCGCTCCCCGCACCCAGTGTGAGCCACAGGGGGGACCTTAGCCGGCAGCCTCAGCGGGGAGGGGCGCAGCCGCAGGGAGGGTGTCCGAGCAGATTGCCCGGGGGGGAGGCTGGCCTGGTGTCGCCAGGATTCACCCTGGAACGCTGGCATGCGGAGGGGTGCGGCGGTGAGGGGGAGTCCGGGGCGCGGGGACGGGGAGAAAGCCGGAGCGGCCCCTCCCGCCTCCGTCCCGGCTGGTGACCGGCCTGTCCCTGCAGGGTGCCCGCCCCTCGGCCTGGAGAGCCTAAAAGTCACGGACTTCCAGCTCCACGCGTCCACTGCCAAGCGCTACGGCCTGGGGGCCCACCGCGGCCGGCTCAACATCCAGGTACCGCGGGAGGGTCCCGATCATGCTGGGCGGGTCCCGCACACGCCTACCGCTCCGCCATCGCCGGGCCGGCTCAGGCCTGCGGACCGAAGGGTCGCAGGTTCGATTCCCGGCCAAGGGCAACTTCCTCAGTCGCAGGTCCGTCCTGACCATTTGTCAGGCATATGCAGGAGGCCACCAGACGATGTGCCTCCCTCCCCTCTCGCTCTCTCTCTCTCTCTCCTCTCTCTCTCTCTCTCTCTCTAAAATACCTGTGGGAGGAGTGTCCTGGGGAGGGGGCCTATGACAGTAAGGCGCACTGACCCTCACGCTCACAGGGGGGACGCTGCTGACCTCAGCGTAGAGTCGGCCCTGAGCCGGTTCGCTGTCCTCTCTGAGGGCTGCTCCTCCCCGGTGCTCGCTGCGCTGCCCTGGCTGGGCCTCAGGGGCCGGAGGCCAGAGGCCGGGGGAGGGACAGTGCTCCCTCGGGCGGTGCTTGCTCCCCGGCACTTCTGCTGCCTCTTTGTCCTTCACCCGGAGAGGCCTCGCTGGCGGGGAGCACCTCGGGGCCGCCAGTCTGTGGATGTGCTGCCCGCAGGGAGGACGGTCAGTGGAGGGAGTGCGCCCGGTGCTGGCCGCCCTCACGGGGCCTTTCCCTCAGTGGCACGGGGCCTGCCGAGGCCCGGACAGACCCTCGCACCTGCCCGTGGGTGGAGGAGGGAGCAGGGGGGGGGGGCTGGCTGTCCGCGCCCTGGGTGCCCCGCCCACGCGGGGTGAGCCCCGGAGCGGTGCTGCGGCCCCCGGGGCAGTGGTGCCGGCCGGCAGGGCTCTCGCCTCCAGAACCAGAGGGTGGAGGGTGGAGGCGGGGACGCGGTTTTTTTGCGAGAAGCTCTGAGGCGTCAGGACTTCAAACCCAATTTAAAGGCCGTCGACGGGGTGTGAGGAGGCAGCGCCGTGCTGGCCGCTCGGTCCCCTCGCCACCGCATCTGCCGCCTGGCACCGCCGTGGGGCGAGAGCCTGGCAGACGGCGGTGCCCGTGGCTGCAGACAGGCCCCAGGAGGACGGGACGTCGGTCACAGACGTGGCACCCAGGATTATGCTGGTGTCAAAGGTCATGTGCGTGGGGACATCCTGCCTGTTCCTCTGCCCTGAGCCCTCCGCCCCCACGTGCCCAGCCGGGAGCCCCCTGTGTCCTGGCAGGCAGTGCGCGGGCAGCTTCACTGCCTCAGGCTTCGCCCACGCCCACCCCACCTGCTTCTCACGGGGCCGTGCGCACCCAGGGCCTCTGCCCCGGGGCCTGCCTGCCCGTCGGACCGTCCGGCTCGGGGGCAGCCACCCTCAGCCTTTGGCACAGGAGGCGGCACAGGAGGCGGAGGGGCCATGGCGGGCGGTCTCCTTTCCGAAGCTCGGACCGTCCTGCTCGCCCCATTAGGAGGCCTCGTCCGCGCCAGGCTGCGAGGCGCAGCCTGGCTGGCGTTGGTGCCAGAAGGCCGGCATGCTGGCTCTCCGCGTAGAGGGGAATAACACGGCCACATGTGTTCAACTTGGAAAATGCGCGTTCCTGTCCCGGTTGAGCTGCTCTTACAATCAGAGCTCGGACCTGCCGGTTTGGCACGGCGCCGGATACATCGTTTTTAATGTTTCTCTTCCCCTGAGACTCCTCCGGCGTCTCCCGGCGCTGGTCCTGCTTTCTGTTGTTGGCGATCCCTCGGCGAGAGCACGCTTGGAGGACGCCCTGTCCGTTCCACACGGCACGGCTGCCCCAGGCCGCCTCCGGCTCCTCACTCCGCCAGTCCTTTCCCGCTGGCCGGGGCCGGTGGCTGTGCTCTGGGGCCGGGGGTAGGGGACCCGGACCGCCTTGTTCAGCGGGCTGACACCACCCGCCCGGGCTCTGCGCTGGGGCCTCTGTGGTTTGTGGTGTTTTGTTTTGTTTTTGTTTTTTGTTTCAGAGAAAAGTCTGGGGCTTCTGTAGAGTGGGGGTGGCAACATGGGAATCTCTTCTTTTCTTTCTTTTTTTCTTTGTAAATGGCAATATGCTTTACTGATGTTTTACAGAGAGGAAGGGAGGATAGAGAGTTAGAAACATCGATGGGAGAGAAACATGGATCAGCTGCCTCCTGCACGCCCCCCACTGGGGATGAGCCTGCAACCAAGGTCCATGCCCCCGACCGGAATCGAACCGTGGCCTCCTGGTTCGTAGGCCGACGCCCAGCCCCTGAGCGCGCGGCGGGCTCCAGCTTCCGTGTCCACGGAGCGGGAGCCGCCCCGGCCTCTGTGCAGAGCCGTCCGTCCGTGTCTCCAGGCAGGTGTCAGCGAGAACGACTTCTACGACGGGGCCTGGTGCGCCGGCAGGAACGACGCCCACCAGTGGATCGAGGTGGACGCGCGGCGGCTGACGCGGTTCACGGGCGTCATCACGCAGGGGAGGAACTCGCTGTGGCTGTGAGTGGGCACAGCCCGTGGGCGGGGGCTCGGGTGTGGGCCGGGCGGGGCAGGGGGGCTGGCAGCGGGGCAGGTGAGTGGCGGTGGGGCCGGAGGGGCCAGGCAGGGGCATCAGACGGGAAGGACCTCGGAGGATGGGCAGGAGGTTGGGTGCTATGGACGCAGGGCCCCTGGGAAGGTGCATCTCTTAGGATGCGGGGGCAGGACCCCGCAGGTCAGGCTGGGTGACGGGTGCAGTCAGCACCATGCAGGGTCGGCAGGAGCTGCCCTCTCGGATCCGTGGTGGTGGTTGGCCGACTGGTGGCTGAGCAGCTTGAGGAGGAGCTGGTGGAGCAGAGGGATGGGGTCAGGTCCCAGCACCGTCCTGCACCCGTGTGGCTCTCCCAGACTCGTGGGGGTATCCCGGCCTGCTCCTCGCACACGTGGGGAGTATCCCGGCCTGGCCCATGCACTCGTGGGGAGTATCCCGGCCTGGTCCACGCACACGTGGGGGTATCCCGGCCTGGTCCTCGCACACATGGGGGGTATCCCGGCCTGGTCCACGCACACGTGGGGGGTATCCCGGCCTGGTCTGTGCACACATGTGGGGGGTATCCCGACCTGGTCCTTGCACACGTGGGGAGTATCCCGGCTTGGTCTGTGCACACATGTGGAGAGTATCCCGGCCTGGTCCGTGCACACATGGGGAGTATCCCGGCCTGGTCTGTGCACACACGTGGGGAGTATCCTGGCCTGGCCCACGCACACGTGGGGGGTATCCCGGCCTGGCCTGTGCACACATGGGGGGTATCCAGGCCTGGTCCGTGCACACATGTGGAGAGTATCCCGGCCTTGTCCGTGCACACATGGGGAGTATCCCGGCCTGGTCCATGCTTACATGGGGAATATCCCGGCCTGGTTCGTGCACACGTGGGGAGTATCCCGGCCTGGTCCGTGCACACACGTGGGGAGTATCCCGGCCTGGTCCACGCACACATGGGGAGTGTCCAGCTGTGAAGGCAGGGCATTCTGACACCAGCTACAGCGCAGAGGAACCGTGAGGACATGGCCTCAGTGTCTGGCCGTCACACAGGACAGACAGAGTCCACGCTCAGGGGTCTGGGAGAGTCAGATCCCCATGCAGGAGGCAGCGGGGCAGCTGCCCGGGACCGGGAAGGGCCAGTTTTTGCTTGAAGGGGTGAACTTTCACTCTGGGGATGGAATGTTCTGGAGTTGGAGGGAGGGGATGGTGGCACAGCAATGTGAATATACTTCTTAGCACTGCATTGTACCCTTAAAAATGGTTACAATCAGCCCAGCCAGTATGGCTCAGTTGTAGAGTTTGATTCCCGGTCAGGGCACAGGTCTGGATGCGGGCACATCCCCAGTGGGGGGGCGTGCAAGAGGCAGCTGATCCATGATTCTCTCTCATCATTGATGTTTCCACCCTTTTCTCCCTCTCCTGTCCCTCTCAAATCAACACAATCCTATTTTAAAAAATGGTTAAAATCATCGGTTTTATAGTATGTACACTTTATCACAATAAGTGAAAAATATAAATGCAAATACCTCTGCCCCCAAATGACCGCCCACCGTCCCCATTTCCGCACAGTTTGGGTGCGATTCCGCTGGTTTCCACTGGGCACCCAGACATTCCTGCTGCTCCTGGACTCGGTGATGGTCCTCACGGCACAGCCGGCCCGCCCGGCTCCCCTTTCCGCTCGCGGCCATTCTGCTGGAAGGCATTCCCTCCGCTTCCTCTTCCTGTGAGCGGCTCCTTCGCCTGCGTCTGCAGAGCGGCAGCTCCGTGCGCGGGCAGCACCGGCCCACGGACGGACCTCCGTGCGGCAGAGTCCACGGGCGCTCTGCGGTCGCTCTCACACGCGTGTGCATGCCTGCCAGGCTGCCCCTGGCTGGGTCTCTCTCTAACTGGTGGCTCGTTACCATGACGATGGTTCTCACTGTTCAGATTCCAAAAGGCAAGGGTTTTGGGAAAAAGAACCAGGTTGAATTGCTCCAGGAAAAGGGGAGCTTGGGTTGAGATTGCCCGCGGGGCCGCGGGGACTGCGTTGATACAGGGCATGGACCTGCGGCGGCCCCGGGGTCGGGTTCCGGCTGTTATTGGCGGCGGGAGGGGCCGGGCGGGCTGTTATGGGTTGGAAAGCAGGCAGCTCACTTTCCGTTCCAGCCGAAACCCGAGAGGGCCTGGCTGGGCGAGAAACCGCGGGGAACAATGTGTTTCTGGCCCAGCCCAGGACGGGAGCCTCGGAGCGGGGCTCGGGGTAGGGTTGCTTCTCAGAGGCAGTTTGTTTTTGTAAACGTCTAAGTGCATTTCAAGTCCAATTACTCGTCAAGGCCAAGGCCAAGGAGGCGGGAGTGTTCGGGTTGAGCTGCTGGAATGGGAGCGCCTGCACTCAGGACGGGACACTAAACGGGACGGGGGTGCGTTTTGGTGTCTGAGCCCGTTTCCCGGAGGCGTGAGTCACGCTGGAGGCATGGGAGCCAGTCCGGGGCGACCCCAACACAGGGTGTCCTGACCCCCTGATGCTAAAGGAGGGACTCATTCCGGGGATTCCCAGCCCTCACAGCAGGGGCAGTGCTCCTGGTGGAGGAGGAGGCGGGTCCTCTGCAGCCCTGAGCCGGGCAGGTGCGGGGGGAGGGGGTGTTGGACACAAAGATGCAAGAAGGGCTGGGCAGGACTCAGCCATGGACTGGGGTGGCCCCACTGGCACTGCTGGCACTTGTCCACCAGGAGGCGGTAGAGAGGCTGGCAGTGCTCCTGGAGGAGGCTGGGACCAAGGCTGGTGGGAGGAGTCAGAGCCAGAGGCTGGTCCCCTGGGAGTGAAGGGCAGCCCTAGGCTCCACGGGGAGAGGAGGCTGCGGAAGTGATGGAGGAAGTGGTGGAGGAGGGGTGGAGGAGGGGTGGAGGAGGGGTGAGGGGGAGGACTCCGCGGGCAGCAGAGGGGATGCCTGGGGTCAGGAGGCCATGGGCGGGGTCAGAGGGGAGCAGACTGGCCACTCAGTGCTGTGCCCGCTGGGAGAATCCCAGGACATGGGGCCCTGGCTTAGTGTGGGGGCGGGGGTGGGGGGTGGGCAGCCAGGGAGATGGGGTCTGAGCGGGGAGAGAAGGGGCAGCGCCCAGTCACGCAGCCGCCAGGGATCAGGGGACGAAGGTGTGGGCTCTCAGGGTACAATCCTTCAGGGAGTAGTTTGAGATTCCCTCCTGGGGTGACCTTCCTGCCGTGCCCAGGGCTCTGCCCGCTGGTCTGTCCCCCAGGAAACGTGGGGCCCCTCGGCCTTTTCCACCTGGTGGAGGGCCCCCCCCCCGGCGGAGCCCCCTGTGTGCCCACTTCGTGACCCACTCCCTCCACCTCTGACTGCGGGCCCTTCGCCCTCCCAGCCCGGGAGGTTTCCTTTGCCTGAGGGTAGGCCTGCCGATGGTCTGAAACATGTGTGTGTGTGTGTGTGTGTGTGAGTGTGAGTGTGTGTGTGTGTGTGTGTGTGTGTGTGTGAGTGTGTGTGAGCGTGAGTGTGTGTGAGTGTGAGTGAGTGTGAGTGTGTGTGTGAGTGTGAGTGTGTGTGTGTGTGTGTGTGTGTGCAGCTGGGACCTGGGATGTGTGAGTGTGTGTGTGTGTATGAGTGTGTGAGTGTGTGTGAGAGTGTGTGTGAGTGTGTGCATGTGTTAGTGTGTATGAGTGTGTGTGTGAGTGTGAGTGTGATTGTGTGAGTGTGTGTGAGTGTGTGTGTGTGTGTGTGTGTGTGCAGCTGGGACCTGGGATGTGTGAGTGTGTGTGTGTGTGTGTGTGTGTGTGTGTGTGAGAGAGAGTGTGAGTGTGTGTGTGTGTGAGTGTGAGTGTGAGTGTGTGTGATTGTGTGTGTGTGTGTGTGTGTGTGTGTGTGCAGCTGGGACCTGGGATGTGTGATTGTGTGTGTGAGTGTGTTCAGTGCAGCTGGGGCCTGGTTATGCTGCGAGCACTCAGTCCCCCGCTGGGCTGAGGGCAGGCGGTTCCATTCAGACCACATTTGCACCAGGTATAAACGATGGGAATGTGTTCCGGATGTTCCCGTGGCCGCCGCCTCGTCTGCTCCCCGTCGGAAGGAGGGCTGCGGAGGAAGGAGGGCTGCGGAGGAAGGCTGTTTGTTTGGCCGGGCAGTGCGGGGAGCAGGAGCCGGCTGGGTCCCCGAGCCCCCGTCTCCCCACCAGCACTGCTGACACAGACACCGAAACCTCGGGGCGCAGAGACTGAGACGTCGGGTGGTTTTGCGCCGTGGAGACGTCTCTCTGAGGGCTGGACAGTCAAACCTCCGCAGGTTGGGAGGCCGGGCAGGCGGACGTGAGAGCTCGGCTTAGGAGCCGCCCTTCGCACGGCCTCTGGGCAGCTGGGAGTTTTCCTCGGGGCGAGAACTTGCAGACCCAAGTCCACCCTTCGGGGTCACTGATGGCCGCTATCCCCCATCACCAGGACGACCCACCTCCTTCGCTGTAATCAAGATCTAATCGACCAACATGTCTTTTTTTTTTTTTTTTTTTTTTTTTAAGAGTAATGTTTCATTTATTTTTTTAAAAAAATATTTTTTATTGATCCCAAGAGGAAGGGAGAGGGAAGAGAGAAACATCAATGAGGAGAGAATCATGGATCTGCTGCCTCCTGCACGTCCCCCACTGGGGACTGAGCTCAAACCCAGGCTATGGCCCTCCGGGGAGTGAACGGTGACTTCCTGCTTCCTAGGCCGACGCTCAGCCCCGGAGCCGGCCGACCGGCTGCGCTGTTCCCCGTGGCTGCACCGGGCCGCCCCGGTGGCGAAGTGCAGAGCGGCGAGCCGGGGCCCGGCTCGGGCCTATCTCAGACCACACACCGTGTGTGCAGTATCGGGTCCGGGGTGCGGCCTGAGGGACCTGGGGGCGGGCAGGGACGGTGAGGAGGAGTCCGGGCGGACGCACGGCCGGGGCGGGCCGAGGCCGAGGCGCAGAGCGTGTGGTCGGTCAGGAGCGGAGGGCGGAGCACAGGGAACGGGGCAGGTGGAGGGGGCCACGGGGAGACCACGCCCACGTGGCGGCAGTAGGAGCAGGTGGTGATCATCTCATCGGAGGTGTCGTCTGTGCAAAACTGCTTTACATGTTTGTTCGGGAAAGCTCAGAACTCCTGACCCCACGTTCTCCGAATAAACTGGCACTGGCGGTCAGGGACCGGGCCCGGGTCCCGGGAGGGCACCCTGCTCGGCACCGCTGCCTCCTGCTGGCAGAGGAGAACACCGGGAAGTGTAGTCTCCCGGCCGGCGTGGCTCAGGAACCAGGAGGTCACGGGTCAATTCCTGGTGAGGGCACTGGCTCGGTTATGGGCTGGATCCCCTGTGTGGGATGTGCAGAAGGCAGCTGATCAATGATTCTCTCTCCCTCTCCCTTCCTCTCTGACATTAATAACAATACACTTTAAAATAAGTCAGGTGTGTCGCCCCAGTGACATCCTACTTCCTCTCAGGAGTGACTGGGTGACCTCCTACAAGGTCATGGTGAGCAACGACAGCCACGCGTGGGTCACGGTGAAGAACGGGTCAGGGGACATGGTGAGTCTCCTCCTGGTGCCCTCGGTGCCTGCTGGGGGCTCTGCAAGAATGGTGTGTGTGCCCCGCGTGCACACTGTGTGTGCCCCGTGTGTACACTGTGTGTGCCCTGTGTGTGCCCCGTGTGCCCCATGTGTGCCCTGTGTGTACACTGTGTGTGCCCCGTGTGTGCCCTGTGTGTGCCCTGTGTGCCGCATGTGTGCCCTGTGTTTGCCCGTGTGTGCCCTGCGTGTGCCTGTTGTGTGCCCCGTGTGTGCCCTGTGTGTGCACTTTCCTGCCAGCTCAGGGCACCCACAGATCTGGTGGGTGGCGCCCCCTTCGGGCCGGGAAGCACATTACCGAGTGGCCCTCGGTCAGGGCTCCTGCAGGGCTTAGTCTTCCCGCTCCCAGGTCAGCCTGGAAGTGGGGACCCTAGGCACTGCCCCCCAAGGTGTTCATTCACTGTGACCGGTCCCTGACGTGCTTGAAGGGCTGCGATCTCTCGGCCCCAGGAGGGGCTCCAGGCGGCCAGTCTGACCACGTCCCCTCTTTCTCGGCTGCTCGCTCCTGGCCTGGTGCCCGGGTCCTGCTCGGCCTGACTGCGCCCCCGGTTCCCTTCTCACCCCAACGCACCCCTGTGTCTGAGACTCCGCGGTCCCGCCTCTGCCGTCTCAGCCCCGCCGCCACCACGGCTGCTCCGGAGCCCCCCTTCCCTCAGCCGCACGCTCTGCCTGCGGCCCGGGCGGGGCCTCACACCCGCACCCTGAAGCCAGGGAGCTCCCTCTGCCGTGGCCTCACCGTTTCCGCCGTCCCATCCCCAAGAGGGGCTTCCTGTGGGCAGGGCCCAGGCTGGTCGGTGCCCCCCTCCCTTCCCCCCCCCACGCCAGCACGGTGTGGGTTCCCCAGTGAGGCCGGTGAGGGAGCGAGTCCGTCACCCCCACACGCAGGCGCTGACAGCGCCCTCCCTGGGTGTGAGCAGGTGTTTGAGGGGAACAGCGAGAAGGAGGTGCCCGTCCTGAACGAGCTGCCGGTGCCCATGGTGGCCCGCTACCTGCGTGTGAACCCGCAGTCCTGGTTCCCGGACGGCAGCGTCTGCCTGCGGCTGGAGGTCCTCGGCTGCCCGCTGCCCGGTGAGCGTGCCCCGCCCCGCAGGTGCCCGGAGGGGAAGCAAATAGACCGGGCCCGGCCGGTGTGGCTCAGGGGGTGAGCATCGACCTATGAACTGGTTCGATTCCCGATTAGGGCATAGGCCCGGGATGCGGGCTCCATCCTCAGTGGGGGGCATGTGGAGGCAGCTGACCCATCTCTCTCTCATCAGTGATGTTTCTCTCTCTCTCTCCCCCTCTCCCTTCCTCTCTGAATTCTCCAGGCTAGAAATGCATCCACTCAATCCCCAGAGGCAGCCCATCCATGATTCTCTCTCACATCGCTGTCCTCTCTCTCCTCCTTGCCCCTCCTCTCTCTGAAAAAAACAATCAATTCCTCCTTCTCTCCTCCTCACTCTTCTGACCTCCCCTTTCCTCTAAGTGTGTGTGTTTGTAATTACAGAAGCAATACAGGCTTACACGATTACAGGCAGGAAAGAGCCAGAAAGGCCATTCATACGGAGGGGAGCAGACAGGCCCTTGCAGACCCCAAATCCGCTGTTAACACCCCTGACCATGCTATCGGGCGCTTCCACCCCCAAACCAGCTCCCCAGCTCCCACTCGCTTAGCGGTGAGAGGTCCTTCCTCCTGTGACCGGAAGCCCAGGGAAATGGGGCTCCAGCGTTGGTGTGTGGGTTCTCTCTGGCCTGTGCCCTGGAGAGTCGCACTCACTCCTCCGCGGTGACACTGAGGTCCTTCCGTTCAACCTGCACCGTGAGGGTGGCCCGGGGGCGATGCCCCGATGGGGCCAGTTTCTGAGGGAGAGAATGGGGCCCCCAGTGGCACAGGCTTCGTTAGGAAGGGTGGCAGTGGGCGAATGCCGGGTAAGCAACTGAGTGTGTCCACCACACTTGCAAAGATTCCATTTCTGCATGCAGTGTGGCATTCATCCATTGACTCATTCTCCCATCTATCCATCCACCAACCCATCCATCCACCCATCCATCCACCCATCCACCCATCTACCCATCCACTCATCCTTCTATCTACTATCCATCCATCCATCCATCCATCCATCCATCCACCATCACCCACAAACCCATCCATCCATCCATCCACCCACCCATCCATCCATCCATCCATCCATCCATCCGTCGGTTTGTTGGTCTGTCCATCCATCTATTCATCCACCCGTCTATTTATCCATCCATCCACCCATCCATGCATCCATTCATCCACCCACAAACCCATCCATCCACCCTCCATCCACCCATCCACCAACCCATCCATCCACCCATCCACCCATCCACCCATCTACCCATCCACTCATCCTTCTACTATCCATCAATCCATCCATCCACCATCACCCACAAACCCATCCATCCATCCATCCACCCACCCATCCATCCATCCATCCATCGGTTTGTTGGTCTGTCCGTCCATCCATCTATCCATCCACCCGTCCGTTCATCCATCCATCCACCCATCCTTCCATCTACTATCCATCCATCCACCCATCCATGCATCCATTCATCTACCCACAAACCCATCCATCCATTCATCCATCCACCCACCATCCACCCACTCATCCATCCATCTGTCCATCCATCCATCCACCCACCCACCCACCCATCCATCCACCCATCCACCCATTGATCTGTCAGTCCGTCCGTCCGTCCATCCATCCATCCATCCAGTGCCGACAGTGTGCTAGGCACACAGGTCACGCCAACTCAGACCACAAGAAACCACCGAGGGAGGGGCCAGCATGTTTCTGTCTATGGGCCAGGAAGCCAAAGCAAAGACCCTCTGTGCGTGTCGGGGTCACACAGCCCGTACCCGGAAGAGCAGACTCTGAGCCCAGGCGTCCTGGCTCCCGGCCCCCGCTCTCCTCACTGGGTAATTCTGCGGGTACGAAGCTGCTGGAAAGCTTCTCTCCCCTCCGTGGGGACCTTGAGGGGTCAGACAGGTGTCCGGCAGAGCCCCCACAGGTACCAGGTGCCACTGTGCACTCAGAGCCGCGTCCTCCCCCTAGATCCCAACAACTACTACCACCGGCGCAACGAGATGACCACCACGGACGACCTGGACTTCCGGCACCACAGCCACAGGGAGCTGCGCCAGGTGAGGCCAACGGGAAACCTTAGATCGAAGGATCGGCGTGAAGACGCGGAGCAGAAGCCGGAGCGCGCCCTCATGAGTACACGGACAGGGCCAGGCCGAGCAGGCCGGCTCCCCTGGCTCCGAGCGGGGCTCCTGGCGGGAGGAGGGCGCAGGTCAGGGGCCTTCCTGTGGAGGAGCAATGAGGCTGAGGCCAGGGCTAGGGGCTCCCCGAGGCACCCCCCAGCCCGGTCCCCCTCGGCCTTTCACGGGGACACAGTCCTGTCGGCGCGACTCGGAGGGGGACGCGCTGCAGGGACCGTCCCGGCCGCACTGTCCTGCGAGGCTGAGTCACCGCTCTGCACTCGGGGTGCACGGGGCCCCGCCCCCGCCCCGTGGACGGCCCGTGTGTGTCAGCGCAGCTCCCTCCCTGGGCATCCTGGACGCCTTCCGCGGGGAACTAACAAGCCCAGCTCGGGGCCGTTAGTGTCAGAAGCAGCCCGTCGGCATGCCTTTCACGTGCGCTCCCGCGCCAGGCAGAGGCGGCGGCTCTAAATAGTTGTCCCACTTGCAGAGGGGCCTCCGCTCACCCGAGAGGAGATGGGGACGGCCCGACCGCGTGGCTCAGTGGATAGAGCATCAGCCTGCGAACTGAAAGGTCCCAGGTTTGATTCCAGTCAAGAGCATGTACCTTGGTTGCAGGCACATCCCCAGTGGGGAGTGTGCAAGAGGCAGCTGATCGATGTTTTTCTCTCATCGACACTTCTAACTCTCTATCCCTCTCTCTTCCTCTGTAAAAAAAATCAATAAAATATATTGAGAGAGGAGAGAGAGAGAGAGAGAGAGAGAGAGAGAGAGAGAGGCGGGGGGAGAGATGGGATGGCCAGACCCATGTGGCTCAGGGGTTGAGCGTCGACCTATGAACCAGAAGGTCAGGGTTCGATTCCCGGTCAGGGCACACGCCCGGGTTGTGGGCTCCATCCCCAGTAGGGGGCGTGCAGGAGGCAGCTGATCCATGATTCTTGCTCATCATTGGTGTTTCTATCTCTCCTCCCTCTCCTTTCCTCTCTGAGATCAGTAAAAACACATTAAAACAAAACAAACGAAAACGAGGAGCCACAGGAGGGAGAGGGGGAGCCGAGGGGGAGAGTCCCACAGGCGGGAGGCGTTTCCCGGGAGTGACTTCTCGGAGGCGCCGTCCTACCCGGCTGTGGTTGGACGGGGAGGGGAGCCCGGAGGACAGTGCACAGACGCTGGTCTCAGAGGGAGTACATGGCTCCCGAGAGCCGGCGGCTCCACAGCACGGGTCCCACTTCAGAACCGCTCAGCCCCTGGGCCTACATGTGTGTCTCCTGCGTGTGGGACCACGAGGCCGAGACTCTCACCCTCACAGCCTCTGGGTGGCACGGACTAGGTCCAGGTGCACCTGTGAGGCCGTCCGGGAGACACCTGGGGGGCGGGGGGCCCGGTGGCGTGGGCGTTGCTGGCGATGGGGCGCCGCCCCCCGGCCTGGCCGGGCTGGGGCAGCAGAGGCGGGCAGGTTGCTCTGGGCGGGGAGGCGGCTGGAGCAGGGGCATGGAGGTCGGGCCAAGAGCATGTGTCTGGAGCGGTTGGCGGGGCTGGGGGGGAGGCTGCCTGAGTGCCCGGGAGGCCCCGGCACCGAGTCTGAGTGTCGGGGGTCTGCACGGGGAGCTGGGGGGTCGGGGGGGTGGTGGTGTGGAGAGCAGCTGGTGGTGCTGGGGGCCGGGCCGAGGGGCTCAGGACAGCTCGGGGTGTTGAGGGCGGCCTGGGGCCGTGGGGGGGGGCAGGGGGCTGTCTGCTGGGGCGCCTCTGTGCTCAGGTCCTGGCTGAGGCCTGGGGTCCTGGGGGGAGCGGGGGGCTGTCTGCTGGGCCCTCTGCATGCAGGTCCTGGCTGAGGCCATGGCCGTCTCCTCTTCCAGCTGATGAAGGTGGTGAGCGAGATGTGCCCCAACATCACCCGCGTCTACAACATCGGCAAGAGCCAGCGGGGCCTGAAGCTGTACGCCGTGGAGGTCTCCGACCGGCCCGGCGAGCACGAAGTCGGTGAGGCGCCCCCCCACCCCTCCCGGCTCCGGGGCGCACCTGGCCCGTGGGGTCGGCCCCCCTCCTCCCGGGCACACGCGGCCCGTGGGGTCGGCCTGGCACAGGGCAGAGCCGCCGCCTCTGGTCCCTGCGAGAGGTGCGGGCTGTCCTCCTGGGAGGGGTCTCCCCGCGGAGAAAAGCAGGGGCTGCGGCTCCGGTGAAATGGGTTTCAAACCCGGGGCCGGTGTTCTTGTATTTGTTCTTCTACACGGGAGCCCCCCGAGCACCGTGGCCGAGAGCAGCTGAGGTTTCTCCCCGCATCCTCCGAGGTACCTGTCTGGGATACAGGCTGCACTGATAGCATTTTGCAGGTTGATGTGAAACAGTGGTCGGCAAACCATGGCTCGAGTCTATTTTGAAGAAGTTTGTAAAAAATGTGGCTCTCAAAAAAAACGTCAATCGTTGTGCTGTTGCTATTTGGCTCTCTGGACTAGAGTTTGCCGACCGCTGATGTGGAAGAACGAGGCTGCCCGGCCAGCCGGCGTGGCTCAGGGGTTCAGCATGGACCTGTGAACCAGGAGGTCAGGGTTCGATTCCCGCTCAGGGCACAGGCCCGGGTTGTGCGCTCCATCCCCCGTGGGGGGCGTGCCGGAGGCAGCCAGTTATTGATGTTTCTCTCTGGTCCATGTTTCTCTCTCCCCCCCTCTCCCTTTCTCTCTGAATCCGACAAAAGCACGTTTAGGAGAGTAAGAGGCCAGCAGGCCGAGGCGCGTGGCCGCCAGCGGGGCTCCCTGGGCCACGTGGGGGCTTGCCCAGCGCTGACGCCTGTGTCTCCCCCGGCCCAGGGGAGCCCGAGTTCCACTACATGGCGGGCGCCCATGGCAACGAGGTGCTGGGCCGCGAGCTGCTGCTGCTGCTGGTGCAGTTCCTGTGCCAGGAGTACCTGGCCGGCAACGCCCGCATCGTCCGCCTGGTGGAGGAGACCCGCATCCACATCCTGCCCTCCCTCAACCCCGACGGCTACGAGGAGGCCTCGGAGGGGGTAGGCCGCCCGCCCGCCCCGACCACGGCCCTGGCTGCCCGGCACACTTGGCCCCAGTTCAAGTCCCCCCGGGGCCCAGAGCCCGGCCATCCAGCCCCGCCAAGGTCGCAGGACCCACCCGGTCAGGGGGTCAGGGGGTCAGGGGGTCAGGGGGTCAGGGCACACACAGAATCAGCAATGAACGCATGAGTGAGGGAACAGCATTCGCTGCTTCTCTCTCTCCCCTCCCCCCCACCCCCCTCTCCTCCCTCCTCTCTAAGAAAACCCCAACGAATCAACAAATAGAACCCCCGCCAGAAGCTTCCTGGTGAGTCCCTGCTGAGGGGGGACACCGCAGGCCATGAAGGGCTGGGAGAGAGGATTTCGGGGACCCCGAGCGGGCCCAGCAGCAGACTCAGTGATGGCAGATGGTTGTGTTTATTGGTACAAACGGGTTTGTTTGTGGGCCAGACAGCGAGGCCGTTGAGTTTGCAATCACAGGCTTCTATTTTCATTCATTCATTCATTCATTCACTCACTCATTCATTCAATTTTACTTTTTTAAATTTGAGAGAGAGAGAGAAACGTTGATGTGAGAGAGAAATACCAATCAGTTGCCTCCCATGTGCCCCAACCAGGGGTCAAACTCACAACGTAGGTGTGTGCCCTGACGGGGAATCGAACCCACAACATGGTGGTTGTGGGACAAGGAGTGCTCCGAGCACTGAGGCACCGGCCAGGGCCGGCTGGGCTTTGGATTCATTAGCCTCAGTCTCCTCCTCCTGGGAGCAGCCCCAGAGGAGGCACAGGGGCGAAGGGCGGGAGGCACGCCGAGGAGTGGCTGGGCTGGCTGTGCACCCACAGAGGTCAGCAGGGGTTTCGGTGGTCGCCTTTGGGTGTGGCCTTCAGGTCGGACGTGCGGAGGCTCAGAGACACGCCGGGTGGGGCGGGGGAGGCGCCCGGTGTCAGCGCGCCCACATCCGCGGCCCCTCCTCTGCGCTGTCCCCAGGGCTCGGAGCTGGGCGGCTGGTCCCTGGGGCGCTGGACCCACGACGGCATTGACATCAACAACAACTTCCCCGACTTGAACTCGCTGCTCTGGGAGGCCGAGGCCCGGCAGCGCGGCCCGAGGCCCGTGCCCAACCACCACATCCCCGTCCCCGAGTGGTTCCTGTCGGAGAACGCCACGGTGAGCAGCACGCCGGGTCTGCCGGGCTCAGGGGGCTGCGGGGGGCCGAGGGGGCTGCGGGGGGGGCAGCGGGGGTAGGGGGGCGCACGGGGGCTGCAGGGGGCCAGCCAGAGCACCCAGGGCATTCCAGAAGGGGACAACGCCATTTCTTCTCTTATACATCTTCTCCCAGAGCAGGGCTGATGACAAAACACCTTTCCAATGGGTATTTGAGGAGGTTCTCTGTAAAAATCACTAAACTTCGTGTCCTCACAAGAACACCGAAAACACGCCCCGTTATCTGTCCTTTTCTGTTGCTGCCATGGACCTGCCCCTCAGCTTGCAGGCCCCTGGGGGCGGTGCGTTCACAGCCAGGCAGGACTGTGGCTACAAGATGGGACTCCCGTGTCAGACAGGAAGTCATTGCCATCGTCACCTAAAAAGAAACGGTTCCTCCTTATTGTGAACTATCTAGCCAGCCTTCGCATTTCACTATGTTACCCCCTCTCTCCCTCTCTCTTGTCTTGTTTACATCAGGATCCAAATAAAGGGCATTCATTTTGATTGGTTTACAGTCTTTTAAGCCTTATTTATTTATTTTTAAAAACATTTTTATTGATGTCAGAGAGGAAGGGAGAGGGAGAGAGATAGAAACATCACTGATGAGAGCCAAGACCGGTTTGGCTCAATGGATAGAGCGTCGGCTTGGGGACTGAAGGGTCCCGGGTTTGATTCCGGTCTAGGGCATGTACCTTGGTTGCGGGCATATCCCCAGTAGGGGGTGTGCAAGAGGCAGCTGATCGATGACTCTCTCTCATCGATGTTTCTAACTCTCTATCTCTCTCCCTTCTTCTCTGTACAAAATCAATAAAATATATTTAAAAAAAGAAAAAGAAACATCACTGATAAGAGAGAACGATGGACCGGCTGCCTCCCGCACGCCCCCTACTGGAGACTGAGCCTCCCACCGGGCCTGTGCCCTGAGCGGGAATGAACTGGGTCCGGGCGTCTGGGAGGCGGCCGCTCCTCACCGTGCCCCGGCGCCCGGTGCTGCAGGTGGCGGCGGAGACGCGGGCCGTCATCGCCTGGATGGAGAAGGTGCCCTTCGTGCTGGGCGGCAACCTGCAGGGCGGCGAGCTGGTGGTGGCCTACCCCTACGACATGGCGCGGTCCCCCTGGAGGGCCCAGGAGCGCTCGCCCACGCCCGACGACCACGTGTTCCGCTGGCTGGCCTACTCCTACGCCTCCACGCACCGCCTCCTCACGGACGCCCGCCGGCGCGCCTGCCACACCGAGGACTTCCAGAAGGAGGACGGCACCGTCAACGGGGCCTCCTGGCACACCGTGGCCGGAAGTGAGTGCTCCCGGCGACGGCCCGCCCGGCCCGCCCGGCACGTGCTCGCCCTGTCCGGGGCCACGCAGAGCCTGGCTCAGCGTCCCGTCGTCCGGTTGGCTTGCAGGTCTCAACGACTTCAGCTACCTCCACACCAACTGCTTCGAGCTGTCCATCTACGTGGGCTGCGACAAGTTCCCGCACGAGAGCGAGCTGCCCGAGGAGTGGGAGAACAACCGCGAGTCCCTGATCGTGTTCATGGAGCAGGTGCGGCCGGCTGCGCGGGCGGCTGCGGGACAGGCCGGGCGGGAGGCCACGTCAGTGCTGTGGACCGTGGCCGTGGTCCCCGTGGCTGTGGTTCTGGGAGGCCGTGGTCCCCGGTGGCCTCTCCAGTGGGGAAGGAGCCGTCTGCTCTCCTTCCTCTCTCTGTACTAAGTCTGTAGAGCCCAGGAAAATGAAAATAGGTGCGGATCAACATTCCATCGTTAGTGGATTTCCAAAAGATCAATGTTTTTTTATTGATTTTAGAGAGAGAGGGAGGGAGAGATGGAAACATCAACTGGCTGCCTCCTGCACACCCCTGCTGGGGATGGGGCCTGAAACCCGGCATGTGGCCTGTCCAGCAATCGAACCGGCGACCTTGTGGTACCTGTGCCTCTTCTCGATCACTGAGCCACAGCGCCCAGGCCAGTGGGTCTCTTGTTAGGACCCCCTCAGAGGCTGACATGTTTAACCTGAACGACCTCACTCTGAAGGGCGCCTCTGGAGCTGCCGAGAGCACGCAGCCGCAGAAGCTCCACTCACAGACGCTCACACTCCACACCCCGCCACGCCGGGCGCTCCGAGCGGGGCGGGCTGCGGGAGGGTCGCCCTGGGTGGCCGAGGGTCAGGTGCTCACCGTGGTGGCGGGCGGGCGGGCGGGCAGCTCACCGTGTCCGGTGGTGTGTGCCGAGCAGGTGCACCGCGGCATCAAAGGCCTGGTGACGGACTCGCACGGGAAAGGCATTCCGGACGCCATCATCTCCGTCGAAGGCATCAACCACGACGTCCGCACAGGTAACCGCTGTGTGTGGCCCCTCTCGGCAGGACACATGCGTGTTCTGAAAGGGTGGAGGGATGAGTGGACATCACAGGGTGTCCCCAGAGCGCCCAGTGGGTGGCGTGCCAGTGAGGGCCCTTCCCGGCCCCGTGCTGCTCCCTCCGAAGGGAAGGAGGGGGCCTTCCCCGCAAACTGCTCTCATTCAACAGATCATCCCGTTTGGTCTGGGAGGAAACAGAGACCCTGGGCCATGAGGCTGGGGTGAGGCTGCATTCAGACTGGCCATGTGCCTTCAGTGCCAGGCTGCCTGCCCACCCAGGTGCCTGGCCAGAGGCCAATGGCTATGGAGACGGGTGCCACAGAGCAGCTGCTTGATGGGTAGCACCCTGAGTCATGTGCTTCCCGTGTGGTTGCCTGTTTCTTTACTCAACAGTATTTCCATGCCAGGTAGCATGGCATTCCATTCGCCCATTCAAACATCCATCCGTCCATTCATTCACTCAATAAATGGGACTCACAAGGAGATGGCAGTCTTTATGAATGAAGGAGGCTGTTGGATTGGCTTCACATGGGACTGTGTTTTAAGCATTGCCAATGAGCCTCTTTAAAAGCGTGTTTCATGAAAGAGCTTGGAACATTCTGGGACTATTAGTGCCGTGTGTGCTCTGCGCGGAGACGTGAGGATTTAAATGGAGTGGGAGATAACAGGGCCCCGGGGCCGCCAGCCTGCAGAGAGCTCGCTGCCTAATGAGCACCGAGCTGCCAGCCTGCGATCAGGGAGACAGCTGTGATGAGCCAATGGGGCTCGCAGCCCCTCCGCCGTGATTTCCCGTCACAAATCCCATACCTCACACGCTGCCTCCCCGCGCTGGTACCTGCCTTCGGGTACCCGCGTCAGCTCCGAGTTTGCTTGGTTTCTGCCTGAGGCTTATGGGGTCTGGCAGGTTTTATTTCCAGAGGGACTTTGTGTAAAATAAACAGTGGGATTAGCTGATAGCAGCAGGAGATGAATTCCACCGGGGAAGCAGCCAGAAAGCACGTCCGCTTTCTCAGTCCATGTAACTGTGGGGCCAGGGCCAGGCTCTGTGCCATGGGATGGTCCTCAGCCTGGTGGGCATTGACCTCACAAATGACATTCATTGGGCCTGGTTGGCCCTCTGTCCACCGTGTCCATCTCTGTCCACCGTGCCCACGACGCCAGGGGTGTGTCCACCACCCCCGCAGCCCATGGTGCCCTCACCCAGTGGGGCAGTGACCCAGCAGCAGCTGGCACTTTGCGTGCCCAGCCCTCTGTTCCTAAGACATTCAGGCTTGATCCCCAGTGTAGGGCGTGCAGGAGGCAGCTGACCAATGATTCTCTCTCATCATCAATGTTTCTATCTCTCTCCCCATCTCCCTTCCTCCCTGAAGTCAATAGAAATATATTTAAAAAGTGAAAATAAAAACATTTTAAAAAACGGCATTTGTGGGGAGGGGCGAGGCAGACCATTGGAGGCGCACATGCAGCACGAATAGCACATTGTCGGGGTCGGGGGCTTGGTTAGGTGATTTCTCCGCCTCCGTCCACGTGTGCTGACGCTGGGAGCCGCTCCCGGGCCTGCCTGTCGGAGCCCTCGAGGGGCTTCCAAAGAGGGGGGCCCCCTGCAGGGCCCCCCCCCCCCGTCTCCCTGGTCTCGGCTCCGGGGCTGGGGTCCCCATAGACCAGAGCCGCCCCGAACCCCTGCTCTCTCTCCAGCCAGCGACGGCGACTACTGGCGGCTGCTGAACCCCGGCGAGTACGTGGTCACGGCCCGGGCCGAGGGCTTCGCCGCCTCCACCCGGAGCTGCATGGTCGGCTACGACATGGGCGCCACGCGCTGCGACTTCGCGCTCAGCAAGACCAACCTGGCCCGCATCCGCGAGATCCTGCAGCAGCGGCGGCCCCCGCCCGGCGGCCTGCGCGCCCGCCCGCCCTGGCTCCGCGGCCGCAGGCGGCGGCAGCGCGCGTGACCCCGGCCCGAGCCGGGGTGACCTCCGACCCGAGCTGAGGAGACCCCTGACCCGAGTCCGGGTGACCCCCGACCCGAGCTGGGGAGACCCCTGACCCGAGTCGGGGTGATCCCCGACCCGAGCCGGGGTGACCTCCGACCCGAGCTGGGGTGACCCCCGACCCGAGCCGGGGTGACCCCTGACCCGAGCCGGGGTGACCTCTGACCCGAGCCGGGGTGACCCCCGACCCGAGCCGGAGTGACCTCCGGCCCCAGCCCGGGCCCAGACCCCGAGGACGCCCCGGGGCCGGGCTCCGGAGGACACGTTCCCTGTCCCTCTGTGGTCCCGAGAGCCCGGAGGATGCGAGCGTGCAGTCTGGCCCCGGGCAGGGCTGAGGCCGAGGTCTTCCCTCCCTCCGTCCCCGCAGCCAGTGGCTCAGAGGGAGCGCGGAGCAGGCTGGCGGAGTGAGCGGCTCTGCCTGCGCCCGGGCTCCTGGCTGTGCCGTGAGGAGCCCGGTGCGGCCCGGCTGGTGGCAGGAGCGCCAGTGCGTGTGCGTGTGCGTGTGCGTGGGCGTGTGCGTGTGCGTGTGCCCAGCTGAAGCCGCTGTTCCCGGGCCCGCTGTCCCCGAGGTCACCCCGCGCTCAGGCCACGCTCCCCGCCGGGCACCCCCACTGCCGCCCCGCAAGCCGCTGGCTCGGTTTGGTTTCTCTCCCATCGGCGAGAGGCCCGGGCAGGGGCGTCGGGGCTGGTTGCCGGCCTCCGGGGTTTACCCAGAACCCGAGGGCCCCCGGTGCTGATAGGGGAGGTGCTTCCCAGGAAGCCACGTCCTCTCTGGCTCCTCCGAGAGCCGCCCTGACTCGGAAGGAGATGTCAGGCGGCCTGTGGGGCCAGACCTCTCTGCCCAGCCCGCTCCCGCGGGGGCGCCCTCACCTGCCCGCGCGGCATCGCCTGCGGAGCTCGCTCGGAGGGGGCGGAACGGCCACGGGAAAACGCGTCTCGTTGTTACTGTTGCTGCCGCGGACGGGAGCGTGAGGAAATAAAGGAAGCAAACGGAGCGGCTCCTGTGGTTCCCGTGGAGCCTCGCGCCCACGCCCCGCCGGACGGGACGGAGCCAGGCTCCCCTCGCTGAGCTGGGCCCCAGGCCGCAAGTGCGTTCTCCTGCGGTCGGTCCCCTCCACACACAGCCCCACGCACGGCCACGGCCACGGGCCCAAGTCCAAGGGAATTAGGAAACAGACATCAGAGGGGGGCTTGTACCTGGTGCCTTCGGGGGTGGACAGAGGAGCGAGGCGGGTCTTTATTTTTTATTATTTTTAAAATTGTATATTTTATTGATTTTTCACAGAGAGGAAGGGAGAGGGATAGAGAGTTAGAAACATCGATGAGAGAGAAACATCGCCCAGCTGCCTCCTGCACACCCCCTCCTGGGCAGGGCTGAGTGTGGGGAGCAGGCAGCACGGGGCCGGGAGGGGCAGCCAGCAGGAGGGGGCTCAGGAGACAGGGAGGGGGGACAGCTAGGGCGCCGGCCCTGGTCCCCGAAACGCTCCTGGGCCCGGGAACGCCTGGCTGAGGGGAGGCCCCAGAAGCTGACTGGGTGAGGCTGCAGGGGGTCAGGGTCCCCACCAGCGGGCACGTGGCTGAGGGCAGCGGCGGATCCGATGGGACCTCAGCCGTCGGTTCCTCCTTCACCAGCGTTTGCTGGAGCTGGGGTCCGTCGGGGTCCGCGGGCAGAGCGCTGGCTCGCTGTGAACGCCCTCCTGTGGCCTCGCGCTGTGCCCACCTCCCCAGCGCCTCTGCCCGGCTGCGGCGCTCCGAGCAGCCGGGGGGGGGGTGGGGGGGCGGGGCCGCCACCCCCAGTGGGAGGAAGGGGGTCACACTGATGGAGGGGGGGGGGAGAGGGTTCCACAAAGCAAAACCGACCCGTTCTTCAGAGAGAGAGAGAGAGAGAGAGAGAGAGAGACACTCCTGGGCTCCACACTGGGGAGCCGGGTCTTGTCGTCCAGTTGGCCACATGTGGGACGCGTGTGGGACGTGTGTCCGTGTGGGACGTGTGTCTGTGTGGGATGTGTGTCCGTGTGGGACGTGTGGGACGTGTGTCCGTGTGGGACGTGTGTCCGTGTGGGACGTGTGTCCGTGTGGGACGCGTGTCCGTGTGGGACGCGTGTCCGTGTGGGACGCGTGTCCGTGTGGGATGCGTGTCCGTGTGGGACGCGTGTCCGTGTGGGACGCGTGTCCGTGTGGGACGTGTGTCCGTGTGAGACGTGTGTCCGTGTGGGACGTGTGTCTGTGTGGGATGTGTGTCCGTGTGGGACGTGTGGGACGTGTGTCCGTGTGGGACGTGTGTCCGTGTGGGACGCGTGTCCGTGTGGGACGCGTGTCCGTGTGGGACGCGTGTCCGTGTGGGACACGTGTCCGTGTGGGACGCGTGTCCGTGTGGAGCGGGGCTGCTAACAGTCGCTGTGGGCCGCTCACCCAGCTGCCCCGGGCCCGCGGACGTGGGCCGGCCGCACAGCGCTGTCCCGGGGGCATGCTGGCTCCATTGGGGACGTCCCGTGGATGCAGCCCCCAATGTCCCCGGAGAAGCTGTGCTGAGAAGGTGCCGCCTTGTCAGCTCTCCCCGAGGGACTGCGCCGCCCGGCTCCTCGGTGAGAGGCAGAGCGCAGCCTGGGCTGCTGGTGTGGAGGTTGCCATGGAGACCGGGATGGAGGCGGAGGCGGCCTCGCAGCCTGGCAGTGCGGGCTCTGAGGGAGCTGGGAGCTGGTGGGTGCGGGGCGTGTGCGTGCATGTGTGTGTGCATGTGTGTGTGTTCAGGATGCATGTTGTATGTCAGAGACGTGATGTCATGCACCCAGGCGGTCCTCTCCCAGAGGCAACCCCTCCGGGGACTCCCAGAGAAGCCACACGCGGGGGGCGATGCCGAGAAATCTCCAGGCCAACAGACCAGGCCCCTGTGAGGGCCTGCGGGGCGGCTGGGCGGCTGGTCCCTGGACCCTTCCAGCTCACACTGCTGCCCTCTGAGTGGCCTGGGTGTGAGCACTCGCTGTCATGTGGAGCGGCAGAGCCTCCCCTGATTCCCAGTCCCGCTCCGCTCCATCCCGGCTCTGACTGTGCATGGGAAGGTGGCTGGGCCGGCCCCTATGGGCACAGGCTGCGGGGGGGGAGGACTCTACCTCCTGCAGGAATGGGAACCGGCCAGCAGAGGGCGACAGCGCCTGCCGCCTCCCAAGGCCTGCAGCTGGGCTGGGGAACCACACCTGTTCCCTTTCAGTGGGGGTGGAGGGAGGCTGAGCGAGGGGTCTGGGGCTGGGTGGGCACCTAGCTGCCCGCGAGGCCTGCCCGCCTGCCGCTCTGCAGACGGGACCCTCTGGTGGCCGATGGCAAAGCCGAGCCTCCAGGAGCTGGGCGCCGGCAGACTGGGTGCTCACGGTGTTTCCGGGGGGAGGGGGGAGGCAGAGTGCACGCTGGTGTCTGCACCCTCTGCCTAAGGGGTCAACCCACCAGCCTCCCCCCCCCTAGACTGGTTTGAGGACCCTGGGCTGCTGGCAGGACCTGGGGGACCAGTGACGGGCTGGGGCCCGGGCTCAGCAAGTCCCCCAGCTGCAGGGGAGCGCGGGAGGGTGCGGTGCGCTGAATGGGGACTCCAGGGGGTGAGAGATGCTGCCACGAAGGCGGGTGGCACCAGAGCCTTGGACCAGGCAGCACCGGGACAAGGGGGCAGGGCCATGTGATCAACTGGGAGTGGGCACGTGTACAAGGGGCAGGGGCATCAGGGCCTTGGACCAGGCGGTCCCTGGCAGAGCTGTCCTCAGGGGGCGGGTGCAGGAAGGGCTGGGCTGGGCTGGTCAGGGATGGAGACGCCGTCACCTCTCACAGCTGCCAGGCGGAGCCTGACCGGGCCCACATGTGCCCTGGGGCCCTCGGCGCCATCTCCCTTATCGCTAACGGGGGAGGAGATGGAGGAGGGAGGGCTGCTGCTCACGTGACAGGAGACAGCCGAGCCAGGAGGCCCATGGTGGGGTGACCCCCCCCCCCCCAGACTCTCGGTGGGCTGTCTTTGGGGGTCAGCTGACCACGCCATGCCTCGCTCCTCTGAGTGGCCCACACCTCGTGGGCCTCGGGCTCTGGAGTCCGTCCAGGGGTGCAGAGGGCAGGCGCCTCGGGGTGCAGCTGGAAGGCCGAGGGGCTGATCCTGGGCTGGAAGGAAGGAGACCCTCTCCACTCCAGGCCTCACTTCCCGGCTTCGTGCTATGTTTTCGCCCCGGCCGGCCGGCCGCCCCGGCGTCAGGTCCTCTGCCTCCAGCCGGCACCTGGCGTCCGGGGCGCGATCCCCAGGGGCCCTGCCTGAGGAGACGGGCGTTGAGGGGTCTCACCCCGAGGTAGACAGTTCACCAGGGCCACGGCGCGTCGGACGCTCTATCCCGCGTCCGCCAGCCTCCCGGCCTCACGGCCGCCCGTTGGCTACCGCTGGCCTCACGCTGTGGGGTGAGCACATGCCTCCGGCTGGCAGGCTCGCCGTGACGAGGGTGCTGAGCATCTCTGACATCCGGCTCCTCCCTTCTCCTGGTGTGTGTGTGTGTGTGTGTGTGTGTGTGTGTTTAGAGAGGAAGAGAGGGAAAGAGAGATGGAAACATCCCTGATGACAGTGAATCATCAATCAGCTGCCTCCTGCACGGCCCCCCCACCTTCCCTCACTGGGGATCCAGTCTGGCCCCGACCGGGAATGGAACCGTGACCTCCTGGTTCATAGGTCGAAGCTCAGCCCCTGAGCCAAGTGCACCCACTTCTCTCTAGGGGAGTCTCAGGGAACAGCAGGAGTTCCCAGAGCTGCCTACCCGAAAGACGGCTGCAGGCGAGGGCGCCGGTGAGGGTGCAGGTGGTGGGGACGAAAGGTGACACTCTCCCTGCAGGGCCGTCAGCTACGAGCCCAGAGGCACAGGCAGCCCTGGCGGGAGGGGCAGGAGGAGGGTCCTCCCAGAATCCTCGGCACCTTTCAGGTGCTCCCTTAGGACCGGCAGGGGGTG